CCTTGAAGATACAATTTGAAGAGAATTCTTACTTCAATGTTTATCCTGAAAAAAACGACTATGAATATTGAAACATCTCGGAATAAATTATGATGTTCCCAACGTTTATTTTTTTTTTTTTTTCATTAAATACTGTGTGTGCAAAGATAAATATGCATCTTTAAGGCAACAAAAACAATAGGAAAAAAAGATTATGCAAACTTATCACAAGGAGATTTCAACTTCAACGCCAAGTTACAGCAACATGCTGTGTTGACGCAACTATTCGGTACAATCATACGTGCAATAATGCCAGTTTACCTTCCTCTCGTACGAGATGAACAGTGTTTAAATGCGACCTCACCATTTTCCATTTGCGCGCGTCTGTGTTTATCTGTCTTTCCTTACTCATTACAATTTTACTATCGTTTAGCACTGTCGATGTGTCAGTTTTAAAGTCAGTCTGCATAGAGTTGAAAATAGAGACATAGACATATCAAATATAATTATTTTTATAAGCATATGCTAACATGTGGAACGTTCAACTAAATTAAAATTAAAATGATTAATATCCATATAATTTATATCCATATAATTTATCATGTAATATATAATCTCTTGAATAAGTATAGAAAAAATAGAATATATATATTATATATAAAGTTTAGAAAATTGTCATAAATTAAACTAATCGATATCTATAAATTTGCAAGTATAACCAATTTAAAAATATTTTATTAACGATCAATATTTTATTATCATAACTCGATATAAAATAATTTTGTCGCTTTTAACTCATGAATGTTGATTTGAATTTATTTACATAGCTTATTAAAAATATTCCATATTTCTTGACAAATATATGTCATTAATAAAGTTTTTTTTCAGTGATATTGTAGTTATAAGAGTAGTAAATACATACAGCATAACTCTGTTATATTTACATGATGAGTCTATAAATAAAAAATATAGCATTAAATATGATCTATTCAGTCTACTAACGTATAATTTAAAATAGCTAGAGAAAGACACTTTATTAATTACATAATGTGTAAAATGAAAAGAAAAAAAGGAATAATAATTATTTCAATGAAAAAGTTTGCTTTAGCGAGAAAACTCGATTAAAAATTCTCGGAAAACTAATTATTCTTTTTGCTACAATTGAGTTGGAAAAATATGTACGCGATATGTATTAACTTTTTTTTACATTCATTCTATTTTGTTTTTATTTAAGGTTATGTATTCTGTAATATATGCACATGTATATGATTGCGTCTTCGATATTAGATTATCACGTGCCGCAATGCAATATATATGACTTTAGTAAGGAAACCTTGGGCTTTAGCACAAGCTTTTTTTTTGAATATCGAGTAACTAGCTTGATGTCGCATTTAAGGATGTTTTGTACTTATTTTCAAAATATTGAGAATTTAATGAAAATTTGTACAGAATGTCCTTACATATGTTTAGAATGTTCAGTACAATTTTTAAATCGATTTACTAAAGCGTTCACAAGTTATAAGGATTTTAATTTGCACCGAATTAACATGTGTTCTTATGGGAAACGTAACCACGTCGATTCAAATGACAAAAACATGGAAATAATATTTAGAATTTGTTTAAAATTTGCAAAAGTTTAGATACAGAGGAAATATTTGGTCAAATAACATTATACAAGTACTAACCGGTTAAAAAGATATTAAATATAATTTAATGAAGTTAGCCATGTATAATATCTGTCACAAGGCGAAATTCTCTGCCAAAAGTTAATCATTTCGATTAACAAAATTCGGAATATTTCAGTAAAAATGCAATAAATATTAAAAAATACATCTCTGCACTGTAGCTAAGATCAAATTGTAATTTTCCACGCAATTTCTCAAAATACACCAAAAGTGGATATTCGTCAATATAATATTGATTTATTGATATATTGATTTTCAGCTCCTTTTTGCTGGGATTGTACATACAAAACATCCTTAATGTATTAATAACAAATAACGATCAACAGCATTTTTCATTCGAAATGCAGAATAAAACTCGAATTTTCGCGTGAATTTTGCGAAAACGGGGCATGACACGAGGATGACGCCACTTGTTTTGCCGTCTTTTCGGTTAATACCGCCGCACCCATACTCACCTTCTCGAGTTCGTGCTTCGTCTACAAAGTGGCACCATAGTAGCTTTGAGCTCTTTCGGCCCGAGCTTGCCCTACATGCGAACCTCTTCCCGATTCGCACCGCAAACCCGAGAGAACCTCGAGCGCGAACGACAATTCCTCCACTTCGTCGTGTCGTTTCTCACCATCAAAAGAAGGTGGTCCGGATGAACGTGTTACACGCAGACAATACCGGGTGGCGAGTGCAACTGGCTGCCGCGACTTTGGCACGAGCATCACGTGCCGCGATAAAGCAACGTGCCGTGAGACGATCGAGACGCAAGGTCAGTCGACCTGCAATGCAAGGTCTTTTTCAGGAGACTCAACACGTCGAATCGCATCTCTCGCGGATTTAACTCCTTCGGTACGTGCGACGACCGTAGCGTTAAGTGTTCGTTGTAACACGTTCATCGGCTACGATCGGAAAGTGCTCACTACGAGAAAGTTCCCGTGTGCACGCTACGTGAATTTGCCATGATGCTTTCCACATAGCAGCATCGTAGCGAGATTTGTACGACCAATTTGGAGCAAAATTTCATTTCAACGAAACGTATGATATATGTGATTCGTTGTTTTAGCGAAAAATAAACCAATGATCTCCGAGAGTCGTAAATAATTGAAATTGTGTTAAGCTCAGAAGTGTGAAAGACCTTGTTTAGCGACAAATCTTTATTTATGAAGGAAGTAATACGAATATATCTGAATTGGAAAATTATCAAGATGTATAACATCGAATGGAAAATTTGTAACTTTGATGACATCTATTAAAAATGCCTGTTAGATAGAAAATCAAATTTTTATTAGTGAAGAAAACGGGACTTTAATCACTCTAATGACATTTATAGAGTTCACTTAACATGTTCGATATAACAGATACATAATTTATAACCAATCGAGAGGAGTTTATTACGAAATTCCAAACATTTCAATTATACTCTGCGAAATAATAGTCATAGTTTCTAACCGATGAGTAAGAATGTAGAAAATTTTTGTTTTACACAACTTAATTTTTTAAATTTAATATTTGGAGTTATACATTTATATCAATTAACTTATTAAATAATTAAAACAAAACAATGTTTTTCAATAAATTCTTACATTACAATTGTATGGCAATAGTCACTTTAGATTAAAATTTTTTGCGACACAATAATCGGCAAATCGAAAGATTAAATATTATCGAGCATAGAGGATAATAAAAATAATACTAATTGCTATAGTAAAATCTCTTTTATAATAATTAAACATAATAACATATAATAATTAAACTATTAACTTGAAAATAAGCGTCATGTTTCCATATTACTCACTCCTTATTATATGAGCCTCGTTAAATTACATTTCGAAACATAGTAAAACTGAATAAAAAATATAAATAAATAAATAAATTTATTTTACCTAAAAGTTCTTCTCCCAAACGTGAATTAGAATTAAATGAGAAATTTATTTAATTAATTCCGCGCTTCTCTATAAAGATTAAATAAGAAAGAGACAGAGAATCGATTAAACCTCGGTTTATCTTCAACTTAATATTTATGGGAGCGCGCGACAGTTAGATTACCGAAATGTAAATTATGTCAGTTTCGAAACAAACGGCTTACAGACGTGCGTTCGTCACGATGTTTGCGTGCCCGATTCATGAATGCGCCGCATTCATAATTCTAACATTGTCAGTGTGTAATGCGCGTGACAAGGTCTAATGTAGCGTATAACGAGGCGAACGATCCAACGACGCAATCGATACGACTTTGAGTAATAACTAGACGAATAATTCGTCGAACACTCGCGTGGAGATATCAAGTAGAGAAGGTCAACAGCGAGACATTAGTTATTAGTAGAACACAATTACGCAGCATGTGTTACTGATAGACGCTAAGGAACAGAGAAATGCGCGTAACGTGCAATTCTCCCGACAAGAATCGACTATTTGCATACGTGAGGACAACACTTGAGGACGAAATAAAGTAACACACGTCGGGAGCGACACGCTCTCTTTCCACATGCCGCACGAGCTCAAGGACAATGTATGCTAACAATCGATAAGCCGACTTGTTCGTTCGATCGAGAGAACGCAAGTTTTTAATATTCGAACGCGGAATACTTTGCACGCGAGAAGACGAGCTGTCGACGCGCGCGTCGAGAAAATATTTGGAATTTCCGCGAACGTCCGATGATTTTCCGCTAATGGAGAGCCCCCATTGTTTTCTCATTTACTTCGTTTAATTGTTTTCCACGAAGGCACGATGCAAAACACGTCATCGGTGCCACGCGATCCTCGTGATTTTTTTTGCACGCAACGCGCGACATTTTCATGAATGAAAAGGCGCAAAGTTAGTCGTTAGGTATAGCGAGTCTAACGTTAATTAGTCAAAGAAGTTGGTAGGTTCTAAAATTCTTCCGAAATTACAATCGACACCGAGATGAGAAAAATGTCAGCGGGATCGATATATTATTTTATTCGTGCGACTCTGAACGTTCTTAGAAACGGATCTCACGCGTGCGCGGTGATGAAAATTTGGAAATATCCGCGAGAGTGGGCGAATATATACGTCACTTTGAAGTCACATTAGGCCATAGCGCGAGTTAAACGCTGTTAAATGTCACGTGTCACGTACGGAACTGCTGGACGAGCATAGCGAATGCACGATGTAAAAGCCGTGTCCGCGCATTAACAGAACGGTATGGGACGTGGGAACGCGGACACGCCGAATAACTCTAAAACGCTTGCACTACTCCGGTTGCGTGTTCAACAAAACTGCTGTCCCGCAGCTAGAGGCCTATCAAATGGAGCGACTTCAACCACATTCATCATGATTCTCGGGAAATGTAAGGCGAATGGAATCGCAGAGAATGGCTTACGTACCCAATAGTCATAATCCAAAGCTGCTTCTTTCACCGGTAATCAACGAGCCTTTCACGAGCACTACTGCCTCCTCGGCGAGTTTTCCTGCGAGATGCGTAACAGTTCTCACTGTGTATCAATGGAGCATCGGTATGTTACAAATCATCGTGCGATCACGTTTAGATGGGAATTCCAGTTGCTCTTAATCTTCCAAGATGATTATGTCTCTTGCAGATCAATCGATATACTCGATTACTATCGGGGATATTGGAGCACCTTCGTGTCCTTCGCAAGGGGTTGATTCGCGCAAACAGGACGGTGGATCGCGACACGAGCGATATAATCCTTCAGATCAGAAGTGAAACAAGTCAACACGGAGCAAATTTGACTATTGGAACACTCGGACAGAGCGTTCTCCGTTAAACGCGAATCCGTTGAATCAGAAGGATACAAGTCGACACGAGTCAGTGAATATATTTTCCGTACCCTTCCCTCTCGTATCTGTCAACGAGACGATCGAAATTCGAAACGATCGTGCTTCTCTTCAGGAGAATTATACCGCGACACGCGTCAATGAGTACTTCACGGGCGATTCTCGTAGCCACGCGCGCGGACGATCTCGTCGAAGCCGTCGAGGGCACTTGTCCGGGGGTGGCAGCGGGATAGGGGAGCCAGGGGGAGAGCACACTCTCGCGCGGGGGACCAGGGGTTCGCGATCGCCGGGACGCGAACAGGTGGTGCACGCTCGACAAGTCACGCCACGCGCGGGACACGCGAATCTCGCGAGCTCTTCGCGACACCGACGTAGAATACAATACGCACACGTCGTCGCGACGGCTTGACGTCGACTGAGGTGGCGCGGATACGGCACCGTCCCTGCTTTGCCGCCGCCGCCGCCGCCGCCGCCGCCGCCGCCGCCGCCGCCGCCGCCGCCGCCACCGCCGCCGCCGCCGCCGCCGCCTCCACCGCCGCCGCCGCCGCCGCCGCCGTCGATGATGCTGCCCCACCAGAACGCAGAGGCGCCACCGACGCCTACACCCTCACCGGGTTGCCGTTCCGCTCCCCTGACGTCCCTCCGTCAGACCGGCAAACGCTCCGATCCCGTGTCATTCGGTGTCGTTGCGACCGCGAGGGTGGACGTGGACGACGCGATGAAACTCGGTGATATTCCATTAATCAATTTTTTTTGTCATCAATGGGATGGATAATGAGAATGATTGACGGAATAAAGTAATCGTTTGACTTATGATAGTTGTATGTCTTATTCCGTCCTACTGTCAATTGCTAAACGCGGATGAAGCTGTGCGATAGATGCATATTTTGTTTATTAGTTCGATCAATTTTAATCAAGTTTAATCAATTTAATATGTGCAATTTTTTAGATAATTTATATATATATGTAAATATATATTTTTTATTTTTCAGATTTTTCGAAATTTTGCTCCAATTTTTTAGATTTTGCTCCAACATTTCATTAGGTATTTTTTTCTAAAAATAAGTCAAAAATAAGTCCTTTAGATTCGTTAAGCGCTCGTGCTTGTTTCTATCCACAGTTTTTCTGTTAATCATTTTTTCATTAAAATATGTCAGTAATTATAATAATGTCAATTGCTAAACGCAGATGAAGTTGTACGATGGATGATGCATCATGGAGATATTTTGTTTATTAGTTTAATCAATTTTAATCAATTTAATATGTGTTTGCAATTTTTTAAATAATTTATATATATGTAAATATATATTTTTTATTTTTTAGATTTTGTTCCAATTTCTCGAAATTTTGCTCCAGTTTTTAGATTTTGCTCCAACATTTCATTAGATATTTTTTTTCTAAAAATAAGTCAAATGTAGTTAACTAGATATATTATATGACACATTTTTTTGAATTATAAAATGCGGACAGAGCTCCGTAGATTTTTTAAACTACTAGTGTCAATAATAAAACGTTATATTTAATTAATTTTTGTTTTCAATTCTACGCGGTTAAACATGAATTTGAAATTCGATGTATATTTTTGTGAACGTATTTTAACAAGAGACGCGATAATATCTGGAATAAAAATAATGTGACGAGCCAGCTGTTTAGATTCGTTAAGCGCTCGTGCTTATTTCTATCCACAGTTTCTATTAATCATTTTTTTTTATTAAAATATGTCAATAATTATAATAATATCAATTGCTAAACGCAGATGAAACTGCGATAGATGCATCATAGAGATATTTTGTTTATTAGTTTAATCAATTTTAATCAAGTTTAATCAATTTAATATATATATTTAATATATGTATGCAGTTTTTTAGATAATTTATATATATATATATATATATATTTTATTTTTCAGATTTTGCTCTAATTTTTCGAAATTTTGCTCCAGTTTTTTAGATTTTGCTCCAACATTTCATTAGGTATTTTTTTCTAAAAATAAGTCAAATGTAGTTAACTAAATATATTATATGACACATGTTTTTTTGAATTATAAAATGCGGACAGAGCTCCGTAAATTTTTTAAACTACTAGTGTCAATAATAAAACGTTACATTTAATTAATTTTTGTTTTCATTTCTACGCGGTTAAACATGAATTTGAAATTCGATATATATTTTTATAAACATATTTTAACAAGAGACGCGATAATATCTGGAATAAAAATAATGTGACGAGCTAGCTGTTTAGATTCATTAAGCGCCTGTGCTTGTTTCTATTCACAGTTTTTCTGTTAATTATTTTTTTATTAAAATATGTCAGTAATTATAATAATGCAGTATGAACAGATTTAACGGCATTAGCATTAATGATATTGACAATCTTTTAATTGCAATTAATTCAAATAATATTGATAAGCTCGATTATAAAAACTTGAAGTATGAAATATAAAAAAAACTTCAAAATATATATATTGCTTATATACACATAAAACGATTTGGCACGCAAAATACTGTTATAACTATCTCGTGTATGATTTCCTTTATATATTATAGTTTCCTTTATATGCAATAAATAATGATAAATAAATTTTCAATCGCGTTAAATAGTTGTAATAATATTAGAAACAAGGAGAAAGAAAAAGAGAGAGAAGGAGAGAGAGAACTGTAATAAACATGAGCACATATTTTAATAATATAAATAATATAAGAAATCAATTTTTTTAGCATTAATATCAATTAATATATTAATCATTCTCTAATCAGTTTATTAATGTCATTATCAATTCACTATTAATTATAAAAAAAATATGGAATAAATTTTTTTAAAGTAAGAATTAATTTTTAAATTAATTTAATAATAAAGTATATATATATCTAAATATATTACAATATAATTATTTTATAATTAAGACATTTTAAAGTAGTTTGAAAGTATATGAGACCAGTTTATTTTTTAAAACATACTTACATTACATCGTCGACATTTCGTCAACAAAACCCTCCCAATGGGTACACCTTGACGTTGGTGGGAGGGCTCAGTACCTGGAAGGTTTATTCTGAAGGGGAAGCTAAGTACCCAAACAGTTTTTAACGGTTTTTTAAGGCTTCTAAGGCTTTTTATCGATATCTTTCCGTACTTACAATTATCACCGAATGCTTTGGGTGATAATTGTAAGTAAGTTTTCGATGAAGCGAGATATCTTATTGAGATGTTGCTCTTTCAAAATGTATTTCTCATGCGAAATGGAATATCGATTCGTAATCGTGGAAATTCGGGAGTGCCGAACTAAGTATCGCGCGTCTCTTTTCATCGTACCAGTTTATCGCGTCTTAATTAATTCGGGAGTATCGTGCAAAATGTCATACATCCGAGTTCGGGAGTGTCGTGTAAAGTGTCACGTGTTTCTTGTTATGATGTTTCATAATGAACAATAACGAATCGTAATGAACTTTATTTTCGCAAATGTGTGCAACAAATCCTGACAATCTGAAAGCAGGAGGAGATCCAGCAGGCATCGAACGACCGCGGACAACCCTGAGGTAAATAATTCATTATTTTTATATTATTTTTAAATTATTTTTTATATTATGTTTATATTATTTTCTATTAATTGTGCATCTATTCTCGCATATTCTATTTTGTTTATTTATATATTTGAGATGACATTGAGAACTGTTATAATTATAAAAAAGTCTTTATAGTATGCTATAAGAACTCGTACTTAAGAATATATAATTATTTTGGAAATTATATAAAATTTATTCTTCTATAAAATTTTAAACATCTGCTTATTATTACAAGCACTAGATTTTACATTCAATATGTAGATAATTTTGTGAAATCTTAATTATTTTGAGCTATTATAATTTATATATATGATATATATAATATTTGAGATATTATAATTTGAATCATATATTTTCTTTGCAGATCAATGTAGTCAACTCTTTCACTGAGGTCAACTCCTTGCTGTTGTGCATCGACCGGTGAGTAAACATACTTTTATATTCTCTTGCGATAAAGCCGGGATGAAAATTGTATCATCAGACCCGTTGCATTTGAAATGGAAGCGGGTCACGAGAAATGAGGCAGAGTAAATGAAACCGCCGTTTAGTGTGGGAAGCGACGTGGCCGTTTTCATGACGGAAACCGCATGCTTGGCTCTTAGCTCCGTTTGTCGTCGTTAGGTGGGAAAAACGCTGACGCCACTAAACGCAATCGCAACATGTCGCGATGATGACCGAAGGAGCCTGACGCGTGTCCGTTTTTCCGTCTGTCCTCGACCGCGAGCGGAGAATTTGCTCGTCGTCCGCGTCGCACGGATGGAACTTCCGTCGCGCGGATACGTCCGGTCGCGTTTGCGTTTCGAGTTATGTAACGAGCCCGCGACAGTGATCGGGCAAGAAACTGTAACAAGATGCAACTGCATTTCCGACGAGGAACGTGGCACCGCGCTCCGCGTTCCTTCGCGAGCGCTTTAAGAATAGCAGCGTAATAACAAGCGGCGTGAACCGCATCGCTAAGAGACTGCGTAAAGAAGCGCAATTATGCGCTATAAATAGACGGCGTGCATTTTTCGACGGCATTTCGCGAGGCCGCGCATCCGCGTGTTTCATTATTACATTAGTATGCACCCGCGAATGGCCGCCACTTGGCCATTTGTCACGACTGTCTCGTAAGTTCACCCAGTTTAATGCATTCGCGCCCCTGCTCCCCCCCCTCCCTCCCTCCCTCAGGTCGTTTTCCTTCTCTCGTCCTCCGTCCTTTGCGTCGCCTTTGCCGCAATTTTGAAACGGCAACGCCGTTAAGCGACGTTTCCTTGAACGCACAAAGCAACAGCAGTCGCGTTCTGAGGCTCGCGGTCGAACTTGACTGATGCCGGGTTTGGCTGCCGAAAAGCGCCGTCAACGCCGTTGAAGCAAGAGAGCGACGCGATCGATTCGTTTACGACGTTAAAGTGACAGAAATAAATTTTAATTATTTCTTATAAATATAATATAAATGTGATATTGAGATTAAGAATTAATTAATGATAAAAATTAATTATTGATCAGTTGTGGACGCGTATGAAATATATAATAAACGTTCTCTTTCTCTTCTATAAATGTCATTTTGCTATAGATTACTATTATTAGTGTTATTATTATTATTATTATTATTGCATTTTATAATTCAAAGATTAATTCGCAGCAGTCAGCAAGCAGTTAATCCACGTGATATTCAATTCATTAAACAGTTTGCACACATAACGGGACTTATTGTTAGTATCGTAAATTCGCGTAAATAAATCAATGCCGCGAACTGCCACATTAGCACGTTCAGATTATTGCCGGCAACAATTCCATCGATGACTTATTATTATCGGTGGCTAGTAAAGTCGTAGCGATAAATAACCTTTGTTGTATATCGGTTATCT